CTTACCAAAGATCAGATTTCTGATACTAGATTATTTTGATAAAACTTTATCAAAATCATACACCTTTCCTTAGATAGCACACTTGTGTGTCTGAACAATTTTAAGAACTATGAAAAGGGATGTCGTAATCATAGTCTCGATTGTTTAGACCTTTGCCACTTCTCACAAGTCCAGGTTAGTGTGCCGGTAAACCACACACGCTCCACTAACGACTTTGAGAATGCAAATATTACAATTGCTATCTAGCTAAAATCTACTTAGTGAAATAGTTTCCTCACCATCCTTTTCATGAATCGGAGAGAAACCTTATGACACTTAGATTTACTGGTGTATGTGTTCTTATCCATGTGAATTGTCAAAACCATAGTCACAAGACAAGGATAATGACAAATCCAAACTCATATGGACTGAACTCAATCTTGATTTCTTGCCACTTGGCAGCTCAAGGGCCTGCCATTGCTTACAAGTTGTTGTGCAACCAATTGAGAACTCTAAGAACTCATATGCAAAGCCAACTTTAATTGGAATGGGCACAGAATATGTCAACATGATAGGTTATAAACCTCAAGTCGTGTGCCAGTGAAGAACTTTAGGTTTTATTCTTGATTAGTTCTTGAGACTTTCAAGACCTTTAAGACTCCCACTGTCCTCTTGACCTATAAGACTCCCTTGTTAAACATCCAAGAGATAGTGCGGATTCTAATCAAGACAAACACTTCACACAATTGGCCTTAGTTGGTCTTTGTTTTATCCAAAACATCACAACTTACCAATTTCAAATGTACAAGAGTAGGAAACTTTTACTCTTACATTTGACAAGTGTTTTAAACCTTCTTTAAGATATATCACTCAAATTACAATCTTGGAGTATGACTCTAAGACTTGTATGGGAACGAAGTATGACTCATCTTCTTGATTGAACCACTTCAACAATTCAAGATTTCTCTTCTTAGTCATAAGAATGCACTAAGATTCCCTTAGAGAAATAATTGTGCTATGGTTTCTTAATCATTAAGATGATCACAAAACTGATACCAAAGTACTCTCCCATCTTTCCAGATTTGAGAGAATTTTATCTTTCTGCCTAATTTGATTCTTCTTATTTGCTCTGCCATACATTGGAACCTTTTCCCAATGTCTTAGAATTACACGTAAGCTTGTAACGTTAACCATATTTACTAAGCTTTAGTAAATTATGACGAATAATCTTATCGATCTTTTGTGGTGGACTTGACCAGTGCACAAGAATGTGTACTCGATCCCTTAGTCCATTACTTGACTCACACATCCATGTGAACAAGTAATTAGTCTTAATTTTCCAATACTTGAAAGTTCTCATTCATCATGCTATACAACTTGCATGATTCCAAGTTCCGGTCCAATTGAGACTTGGGTGATGAGAATCTTTCTTTATTTGGTAAATTTAGACATTACCACAACTGAAAGAATCAATTTCCTATTTCCACTATTGCTATTAATGGAATCATATAAGCAACAGTTTTCCTCAAATGCCATTGTAAGGATATTTTAAAATAAATAAAATAAAAATTTTCCTTTTATTTTAAAACTTTTGCGAAAAAACTTATCCTTACAATCTATATGAAAACTTGTTGTTATCTATTCCTAAGCAATATCTCGTAACTCCTAAGAAGTAGCTCAAAAATTCGATCTTCAAACTGCGCGATAGAAATCCATCTACACGATCAGATTCAACATATTCTTTCTTTAAGTTTCTTCCATTTTCTTTGATTCTTAAAACATCACCATGTGACCCAGTCACATCATGTATCAAGAATCTCATAATAGAAACTTAGCAGAGTTAGATAGTGGACTTTACCTGAAGTAGAGTCAGACTTATTAACTTTAACATCCTTAGGTAAATTTGGCAGCTTCACAACTAATGACCCTTCCTTTGGCAATATAAACATATGGACCCTTTGATAATGGTACACGGGACTATCTCAGACTTAGCCTTTCTCTTTACCATTTGGTCAACCGAGTTGACTATGGCCGACCCCTTTCCACCGGGAAGAGAGAGCTTTACTAGATATCCAATGTCATCATTGTCAATGTCCATAAAGTTTTAGGAAGTTGATCTTAGCAAATAAATAAGATCATTAAGGGTCCTGTCATAGTCTATTCCATAGTAGTCCCAAAGGTAACTCCATATGTGACTTAGAAAGTAAACATCCAACTTTCTTAAGACTTTGACACCCAACTCTCCCGGCTTGTCAATATGTGACTACATCTCCAAGATATGATCACACCTAGACCTTGCCTTGACAATAGGGCTTGAGTGACCTTGAACTTGTGGGTTAGGGAGAATAATTGGAGGAGGTTAAAGAAGTATGATTTCCAAAGGACATCATCTTCATTTAGGAAAGCTTGTTTCAAGAGATTTGGGAGGATCATAGATGTCTAGACCAGACATCTTTTGGGAGATATTCAAGTTGATCTTAAGTCCTTAATATGACACCCAATATGAAATATTAAGGCTAGGACCCAACAAACTATTTTATAACTTAGAAGAGGGATGCCGTAATCCAAGCTATAAAATATTTGAAGGTAGGTGAATGATGATTCACCAATTTCCACCAAGATAAACGAAATGTATGATTAGGTTTTAATTGGATTTGAAACTCCTAGATCTTTTGAGATTCATTGAACTTTTCAATGGCATGTTTCAATCTCGATTGTGCCCTTCAGGTTTTGTGACTGGGATTCCGAGGATCACAAAACAAGGTGTGAAGTAACCATGCAAATTACTTGGTACCCTTAAGTGTTTACCCCTCAATCGATGTGCCGGTTAACCACACACGCTCCATTGATACTATGATAAACATTAAGTTACCCTTTGCCTACCTTGTTAAATACGAGTTAGTGTGCCGGTTAACCACACATGCTCCACTAACCGACTTAAATAAGGTGCAAAGTGTAATTTCATGGATTAGCACCTTATTCACATTTTCCTAAGTAACTAAGATTGGGTATTATTAAGAGTTTAGTTACTTAGTATTTATCATTAATACTTTTAATGAAGGGAGAATTATAGTCTTGTCAAACCCGTTCGGCTTACGACCCTCCACCGGTTAAGGAAGCGGTGGGTGAGAGTGGACACCCATTAAACTGCCATTTTATAGGCAGTAACCTTATACCCCCCTTATACACCGGCTTCGTGAATGAGGCCTACTAACGGTAAGACTTACTTTACTATTATACATATATATAAATATTATTAACTTATAATATTATAAAGTATAAGGGTTGAATTTTAACTTTTAAAATTCTAAGGGCTAACTTGGAATTAAAGTATTCATAAGAGAACATTCAAATTCCAAAACTTGAGGGCAAGTTTTGAAATTATTCAAAACTAATTAATTCCATAACTTATGTGTTTAAAGTAGTTTTAATCCAAAAACTCTTCAAGTTCCATAACTTGAAGACAAGTTATGGAAGACTTTAAACTTAATAAAAGAATGTAACTTTTCTTTATTTTATAACTTATGGAATTATTAAGGTTACACACTTTATTCTTTAATGAAGTGACTCTTGAACCTCCATAACTCAAGGACAAGTTATGGAGTCATAAATACAATTAATGATGACAAGACTCTTCATTTTTTGTAACCATTGCCAACTTTTATGAGTTTTATGATTCATAAATGTGACTTTTAAGTTACATAAACACATTTTATGAACTTCTTTTAGATTAATTTGGATTAAAACCAACTATCACATAACTTTTCCATTAATCTAAATTCACTCATAAAACAAGGTAACATAAAAAACTTTTGGTGATCCATAACTTATTCTTAAGTTATGGAATTCTTTAAAACATTAACACCAAATTTTGTAACTCCATAAAAACTTTGAATCAATTTTGTTTTTTAAAACCTTTTCATATCCATAACTTATGGAGATTTCAAAAAATAAAACTCTTTAGATCAAACTTTTAAAACTAATAAAATAATCATATCATTTTATCTTTTACTAAATTTGACCTAATTTAACTCATATAGAAAATTATTCAAATTTTACAAATAATTAGTTTTTCACAAGAACAAGTAATTATCTTAAAATTTGACAAACTTCATGTTTTTTTTCCTTTTTTTTTCAACTTTGAAAATAAAATATTGCATCAATATAACAGAAAACAACCTGTCTTTGATACCATTATTGGGTTTTGAGCATTCTAACACTCCTATAGTGTACATGCAACCCTATAAAACTTGGATCTATGTTTTCTCTATTATACATGCAAATAAGAATTTCCAAGGCTTTAATCCTAACTAGCATATTATGAAGTTCTTATACTACAAAGTACTAGTTAGATGACATACCTTTTGATGTAGCTTGATGTCTTCAAGCTTTAAGAGCTTAGCCCCAATAGTGTGGAAGCCTCAAGTGGAATCACAAATCACCAAAACACCTTGGAAGACTTTAGAGAATATGGATACTTGGTTCTCTCTAGTGAAATCGGCTAGCCCTTCTTAGTGTACCACGCTAGTGTCAATTTCACCAACCAATGACGGGACATTCATCGGGGTGCTGGTGGCCTTCCCCGAGACTGTTCAGGATAGTATGGAGACTAGGGTTAAACCCATGACCTTTCATTTCATATGATCCATGGGTTAAACATTCCATGGACTATCCATGAAAGCTTAGCCCAACCTAAATGAACTTGGCCCATTCCATATATATAAGAGTCCATATTTAATTAGTTCATTTTGATGACTTAATTAATTCTAAACTAATTTTTGATCAATACTAATTAAATAATATGATTCCATATTAATATATTAGAACTTATAATATATTAATATTAATCATAAATTTACTATTCTCAAAAGACTATCCATATAAATTGTGTTGGTGAAGTGCAACCCAAATGGACCATGGCGGGTCGGGTCAAGTACATACCAAATATAATTATAGACATAGACATTAATCCAACAGAAACTTCATTTGAAAAACAACCAGAAGTGGATTATCTAGAAGGTATGGTGAGTGATGATAGTGGAGAGGCTTTCTACTCTAAGAGTGGCCATGGTTCTGAGGATAGTGGAGATGATTCTGGTGACAGTGAATACAATGTGGATGAGTCTAACATACAATTTGATGTAGAAGTAGACATGAGTGAATTCCATAATCCTGTTGATGTTGATGAACATGCAATTTTGAACAATCATTCAAAAGATGAACAGATTGACATGGTTGATGATGAGTTGGAAGTTATTGCCAATGATGATTATCAATTTGCAGGATTTCCTGAAGATAATAGGAAGAGACTGCTAAAAGATTTAAGTAAGTCAAGTACATGCTCACATGGAGAGGTTCATGTTAAACCATTTCAGATTGGCCAGGTCCTCAAAACCAAGCTTGATGTTAAAAACTACATGAACTCACATGTTGTAGCAACAAGGAGGTCCTTATACCTAGCCAAAAATGATAAAATTCGGATTAGGGTGAAATGTAAAGGTGTTATAAGTAAGCCTTCTATAGGATTTGATGGTGGTGGACCCTCAACTAGAAGTAGGGCATAGTGCAAGGGTAAAGATGTAATTGCGAATAAAGGTACATGTCCATGGGCAGTCCAAATATCGAGGGCTAATGAAAATCAGGATTGGTTGGTGAGAACAGTACAAGATGAGCATAAATGTTTGCAAACAAGGGCGGTTAAAGCTTGCACTTCGAGATACGTAGCAAACTTAATTGTTCAAAAAATACAGAGTAACCCTAAAATTCCAGTGAAAGCTTTACATGAAAAGTTGTGCAAGAAACTGGAGGTAGGAATCTCATTGAAAAAGGTCGCCAGGGCAAAGTCAATGGCTGAGTGTGTCATTAGTGGGGACTACCAAGTACAATATGGATTTTTGATGGATTATGTGTTCGAGCTACTCAACACTAATCCTTGTACAACAGTTCAGATTGATGTGTATCCAAAAACCTCCCTATCTATTACCACAAGAACTTTTAGAAAAATATATGTCTGTTTAGGTGCATTGAAGTTAGGATTCAAATCTGGTTTAAGAGATTTTCTAGCTTTGGATGATACTTTTATGAAGGGCCCTTACCCTGGGCAAGTGTTAACTGTTGTAGGGCTGGACTCAAACAATGGCATATACCCTGTAGCATATGCAGTGGTAGAGATAGAATCAACAAGTAGTTGGACCTATTTTTTGGAAATGTTAGGAGAAGATTTGGATCTGGGACCAAATTCGAAATTTACCTTCATTTTAGATAGACAAAAGGTGTGTATCACCTAACTTTTTTTTATTACCTTTTCTAAATACATTTGGTTAACTGATGTTGCATACATTGACTTTTGTTTAGGGAATAATACCAGCAATGGAGAAGGTATTCCCCAGTGCAGAACACAGGTTCTGTTTGAGGCATATCCAGGAAAACATGAAGAAACAGTGGAAAGGAAAAGACTTAAGTGACCAGCTTTGGGAGTGTGGTAGAGCACCAACAGACAATCATTTTAACAGAGCAATGGATGAGTTGAAGAAGATCAATGCAGAGGCTCATGCTTGGGTGTCTAAGATCCCAGCAAACACGTGGGCTAAATCTCACTTTAGTGGTAAGTTTCTTGAAATTTATTGAGAAATGTTAATCTTCCTTGTTGTGTGTTTACTATATGTGTAATTATCTTCTCTTAATATCTATTATTCAGGAAGGGCACATACTGATTGTTTGTTGAATAACCTTTGTGAGGTATCCAATTCTAAGCTAGATGAAGGTAGGGATAAACCTATTATCACTTGCTTAGAGTATATTAGAGAGTATCTTATGAAGAGGTTATGTGTGGTGCAAAAGGAAATAGATAAGTGTGAAGGACTTCTAACCCCTACTACAACTACACTGTTTAAAAAGATTAAGACTGATGCATCAAAGTATGTGGCTAATTACAATGGGGCGGGAAAGTACCAAGTGACAAGCACATGGCAAGACCAATATGTGGTAAATTTGAATGATCAGAGTTGTAGTTGTAGGTTTTGGGAGATTACAGGTTTCACATGTAGACATGCTGTTTGTGCTATATGGGACAAAATTGAAAATGGTGAAAATGTCCCACATGTTGATGAATGGGTCCATCCTTGCTGTAGGTTATCAACATGGAAAGCCATGTATTTCAAAAAAATTGATCCATTGAATGGACGTACAATGTGGCCTAAAAGTGATTTCCCATTCATTTTACTTCCACCAAAACATAAGACACATGTTTATATTTAAAGTACACCAAATATATAGTATACATGTGAACATGGAATGAATTCAATTTTAACTATTGTATATCAATATGTGTAGGTTGGGAGGCCTAAGAAGAAGAGAAGGATGGGTGTTGATGAGCCAAATAGCCAATCTGGTAGATTGAGTAGGAAATATTTGGTAGTCACTTGTTCAAAGTGTCATAACAAAGGGCACAATTCCAGAACATGTAAAGGGTAGGGAGGCAGTGGTGAAGTTGGAGGGGGCTAAAAACTATTTTTAGTGGTTATTAGGAACTTGAAAACCTTGCATGTGTACTTGTTTGAAGATGTGTTAAGAACTTGAAAACTTTGCATGTAATGCTTGTGTTGTAGGTCTTTTGAAAATTTTGCATCATGGTTGTGTTAAGAACTTTATAACTTTGAATGTAATTGTGTGTATGCACTTTTTGGTAATGAATTAATATGTTTAGTGTACTAGCCTTCACATATCAATTAATAACATTGTACATTTCAATTGCAAATGAAAACCATCTTCAAGATGCATTTACAATACACTTAATAATTGCATTTCAAAAACATTCAAGAAATTGAACAATGAACTATAACAAACTACATTCCATTACCATTACCACTTCATTACACATTAATCTGATACATAAACCAAATACAACAATACCAATTCCCAAACCACCTACATAAACTGAAAACAAAAAAACCCCTATCCGATTAAAATTAAAAAAAAAAAACCCTGCAATGGTTACAAACCAAAAACCAAAACTCCATTACCATCCAAACCTTCACAAGATACTTAGAGATTAAAATAATACAAAAAAAAAACACCCATGAACAAAACAACATCAGTTGGTAGTTCCACAATTCTGCAGTTACAATGGCAACCCTCTCTTCCAATCGATTCTTTGATCTTATCAAACCTGGAATCACCACCAATGCCCTAGCATACATAGGAGGATCAGACCATCGAATGAAACCACATCTTATACAGTTCCAAAATTTTCTTCCAAGGTTACGACCATCCATGAAGTGATCTTCGTTGCTTCATTCCCACACCTGCAAGTCACCATCTTTGAATCAGAAGCGATTCAATGTCGTGAAGGGTGCAATAGTAACAGTGGAAAGGAGGAGAAGAGAGATGAGGACTGATAAAGCTAAAAGGGAAACCAAAAATCGGACATGCAATTTCTTTTAAAGAGAGAATGTTACAACTGAAATGACAAAATTACCCCTGCAATATTTTATTAAAAAATGAGTTAACGGTGAAATGCTAACGGAGTGAGTCGGGAGGACCATTTGTTAAAAGTTTTGAAACCACAGGGACCATCTGTGAGGTTTTTTGAACTTAGGGACTAAACTTGATATTTTTGGAAACCATAAGGAACATTTTTGAAGTTTTGTCATATATATATATATATATATATATATATTATATATATATATATATATATATATATATATATATATATATATATAAACAACGCAAATATATATGAAGTTTTTTTATTCATATGTAACATACACAAGATATGTCTAACTATATGTTCATACGAGCTTATAGCCACACAAATATAGAAAGTAAAAGAACAAAAAATTAGGAAACCATATGATCAATCTTTTTATAGATGTAGTTTCACATATAAATAAAAAAACAGAAATTCATATGATATATATATATATATATATATATATATATATATATATATATATATATATATATATATATATATAGGATAATGAATAATTAAGTTTTTGTGTTTTAAGCATCGATCACAACAGTTTATAACATTAGCAGTTTTGGTCCCTGCTTTGAAACCTACCGGTCAAGTGGTACATGGCTTTTTATAATATTCCACCACCTCTCTACACCACTTCCCCTTTCCTCCACGTTTTAACACATGGCTTTCTTCATAGAATTGCAACCAATCCTATGGTCTACATTCTGATGAAAATGATTGCATCTGGGTTATCACCAGATCGAAAATTAAACCTTCTAGATCAACTCCTGCTCTATATCGGACCATCATCGCAGTCAAAATCACCCCACAACACCGACTGTCTTCGCAATCTCAGTGGCAGCTAGGAATCGTCACCGGAAACGCACACAAGAAAGTGTTGGTAACGTCACCGGAAACGAAGATGGGAAATTTTTGGGTTAAGGCACTTTATTGGACTCAAATTTGTGTTTGGACCTTTAGGTCATAAAGGGTTTAGCCCTTTTTGGAGAATATGGCTTAACAGGGTAGTACACTGGGTGTAGAAGCCATGGACCCTATTCGCTTAGCGTACAAAGGAATACGCCCCGCGTACTCCTGATTTTGGGCTTCACGTCATTTGGGCCTCGATTTGGGCCATCGTTGGACTTCTTAGCTATTGGGCCTTATTGTGCCATTAAATAACAAATTTTCAGCCAAATATGCTTGGGCTTAAAGGAAGGCCCATTGAGGAGTTGGGTCTAATTTAGAAAATTAGGCCATTAATGGGCCATTGGTGGGCTTCAAAAGGTTATCTAGAACTTGCCATTCATGTTATGGATTTGGGCCTAGGTCATGGACTGGATTAGGTCAGGGGTAAAATGGATATTTTACCCTAAAAAGCATTATTGGATTTTGACTGAGTGATATTTTGGTAATGATAGCTCGGGAGTTGGCAGATCAGCTATTAGAGATTTCTTATCGTGAGATTCGGCATTCAACTTAGTTACCTTCCCAGTATGAATGGGTCGAAGGCACCAATATTGGCCATTTAGTAGTTATTTACAGTAGAGACGATTGTCTTTGTGATAATTGTCTGGCATGCCACTATCTATTCAGATTTATGTGCTTATATGCTATTATGTGGTAGTGGTAAGCGGTGAAACAGATCTCGTATCCAGTCGAAAGGACCGAAGGAGTCGGCCAGCACCCAAATATGTTAGGCAGTGTATGATTTATATGCTTATATGCTAGGATATTATATAGTAGTGGTAGGGGTGAAATAGTCCCCGTGACCGGTTGATAGAGACCGAAGGGGTAGGCCAACACCTAGATATGCTAGGCAGTTATCAGTTGAAAGAGACCGATAGGGTAGGATAGCACCCAAATATGCTAGGTAGTTACTGGTTGAAAAAGACCGAAGGGGTAGGCCAACACTCGGATATGCTTGGTAGTATGTTTATTGTATGGTATGTGGTATGATTGGGGGATTCACTAAGCTTCGTGCTTATGGTTTTCAGTTTTTGTTTCAGGTACCTCTTCTTCAAAATGAAAGTAGTCGGCATGATCACAATGCATCACACCATGATTTCCGCACATGCGATCTTTGGGAGTTATACTCTG